TTTTGGTGAAGAAGGGTTCTATATGTGGTTAAATCTGTTTCTAATTTCGTGATATAGTAATATGTGCGCATAATAAATGTATTGACTTCAGATGTCCATTTCATGCGCATCCTGGGCTTTCCTGCCTTTGTGGACGCAGGTAGAAAGGCCTGAGCAGCCTCCTGCGCAACATCAGAGGTAGGGATTACGGATTCTCTATTATCTTCTGTTACTAGTGTAAGTGAGGGTGTATTTGAATCAGTACTTGGGTTGCACGGTTGTAATGTAGGAGAAGATATGTTTTTGGGTAAGTTTAAGTGTATTTGTTTAGCTGTAGCATTTTCGGGTGACCCGGTGGGAGCCCGCCTACTCAACTCCTCACCGCCGGCGGCTCGTCTACTGCAACACCCAGCGTCAGCTCCAGGTGTGCCCCGGCGATAACCCCCGGGTAGCGGCATTAAACGTTTACTTTTTAATCGTGTCTCCATGGTTTGAATGGGTTACCTTTGCCACGTTGGCCACTCCAGTAATAGAAATGTAGTGTTGCCCACCACCCACGTGTTCAGATGTTCAGAACAGGACGTGTGGTTGGATTTTAGGGGGCTTATTATTATTATTTGGGGCATCTATATAGTTTACTCATCTGGTTGGGCTGTATAAATATATAATTGTAAATGAAAATGATAAACATACATAAATATCAACAAAATAAAATAAATGCATAAAAAATACATAAATAAATAAAAACCCAACCAGATGGAAGCCCTCGGCAGGGGAGACCAGACGGCCGAGGGTTAGGGGGAAAGGGAAAGAAACCGGCGGACGATGCGGGCGGTATCGAGGAGCACCGCCTTCTGCATTTGAGCCTGGAGCGGTCCGTCACGGAGTCCCAGTCGCCTCAGATGACCCGGGAGGCTGACTGGGATTAACCCGTTCGCAGAAACGACCACAGGAATAATTTCGGTCGGCAGACCACCCCACATGCCGGTAACCTCGTGAGCCAGGTCCAGATATTTTGTCACCTTATCTGTTTCGGCTTTCACGAGGTTCCCGTCATAAGGAATGGTAATGTCGACCAAAAAGATCCTTGACTGTGCCCGGTCCATCAGCACAATATCAGGCTTATTCGCAAGAATAGTCCTGTCTGTGATGATGGCCCGGTCCCAGTAGAGCCTGGCGCGGTCATTTTCGAGCACGGCTTCCGGCATGTACTTATAATACGGCAGTTTCCGATCCACGAGGCCGTATTTCAGAGCGAGCTCCTGGTGTAGAATCCTGGCTACTAGATTGTGTCTGTGCAAATAGTCAGAGTTAGAAAGCGCCGAACAACCGGAGATGACATGCCTAAGTGACTCACCGGGATGGAGACAAGCTCGACAGATGTCGACGGCGCCATCCTTTAGGATGTATCTCCGATAATTGTTGGTCTTAATAACCTGATCCTGTATCGCACAGACAAAACCCTCGGTTTCCCCAAAGAGGTCACCGAAACGTAGCCAGTGAAGGGAGGCGACTGTGTCTACGAAAGGCTCATGTAGAGCCTTGTAGAACCTCCCGTGGAGCTCCTTCTCCTTCCATACGGCCTCCCGGTCGGAAATGCACTGTACTGCTGGGTCTTGCCATTGCTCGTTGGCTAAGGATAGAGGGGTCAGTCCTTTATCACAAGAAATAACGTCCCTATAGTATGGATCATCCGCTCTCGTCAGAAAGTAATTACGGAGGCTGCACACTTCGCGATTATGCATGGTAAGCGCGCTTAAAAAGCCGCGCCCACCATGCTTCCGCGGCAAGTACAGCCTCATAACTGACGATCTCGGATGATGCATCCTGTGGGACGTCATTATAGTGCGGACTTTTCTGTCCAGAGCGTTTAGTTCGGTCTGAGTCCACCTAAGTATGCCAAAGGTTAATAACTATAATAATAAAAAAATAACTCAACCGTTATATGCGTGCGTCTTATTCACACCGGACAAAAGGCTGTTAAGCACTTTGGTCAAGCGTGCATAAAACACATCGCAAACTGACTGTTTCATACCCGCCTCATCTACACCGATGTTCTGTGACATACCCAGGTATCGGTATGTTTCAGCCTCGGAAAGGGTCCTTATGTTGATGGGCATAGATAAATCTATGCCCTCGGAGTTAGTAACCCTTCCCCTTTCAACATGGAGGACCGCACACTTATCCGTCCCCAGCCCCATTCCAATAGAATTGCTAAAATCATAAGTGATGTTTAGCAATTCCACAAGATGAGAGCGACTGGAGGCGAATAACTTGAGATCATCCATATAGAAAAGGTGGGTCACTTTTGTACCTCCCCTCCGAAGCTGAAATCCCCTCCCGGAGCCCTCCAGTAAGGTACTGAGAGGGTTCAGAGAGAGGCAGAATTACGACCATTATTATTATTATTACAAGATTATTTTAGTCCGTTCTAACCTGCAAGTATACATATAATATATATTCAAATTAATCTTAGCCACACGCCAATTACAAAAGTCAAAGCAGGATTTTGATGCCGAATCGATTGTAATTTTTTGATATTCATGCACTGTTACCGTAATTGTTTTTAATCTAAATTACTTTTTAATTTATCTCGCAAAAGGTGTGACTAGAAACAACAAGAATAAAGCAAAATGCATTCTATTATTATAATTATCAGTTAATTTTTATTATTTACATTACTAAAATGACGAAAGGTGGCGATTTTCAGAGATGGGTGGAATAATAACAGCCACTGAAATACTTGAGAAAATCCTAGCGCTGCGGTAAAGTATTTTTTTAAAAAAATGAAGAAAATAACTTTTTAAATCAAAGAATCGAAGAGTAAAGACATGTGGTTTTCTTGTAAACTTTATACAAACAAAAGAGGACCTTAATTATATCAACATTGTTTTGTAACATCTATTTATTTTCCTACCTAAAACTAAATGTGATAGTATTTTATTAATCTTAATTTATAACGTCATACAATAAAGAATTATCTGTAAATAAAACAAAACACACGCAAAAGGTAAAATTACCAAAAAATATTATTTATCTTCTAAATCATCTTTCTCTTCTAATCAATTTGTTTTTCTGTTTTCGCTTAGGAGCGTTAAATTAACTTTTCGTAATTTTAAAGTCAATTATAGGATTTTAACTATATTTGCCACTTAAAATTACGAAAAGGCAATTTAGTCTTCTAATTTGTCCAGAACTGCTGAAATATAAAACACAATATATTCGTTTTTTTTTATAGGATAGGGTGACAAACGAGCACAAAGTCTACCTGATGGTAAGTGGTTACTGTGACCCATAGACATCTACATCTATTCTCGATTACGATTCAAAATGCAGATGCGTTGTCACCCCTGAGGACTAAGATGTAATGCCTCTTTTCTAGTAAAAAGGGTCTCCGCTTCTCTACACTCACCATACGATACACAGCAGTGTTAAGCTGCTATTTCACGCTGGTATTCTGTGAGAGCGTGGTCCTTCCCCGGTCGAGCCGACCCATTCGTGCTACAACTATTTTTTTAATTTTTTTATTGGAGAAGGGGCAAACGAGCATGCGGCTCACCTGATGGTAAGTGACTACCGCCGCCCATGTACAACTGCAACACCAGGGGAATCGCAGATGCGTTGCCGGCCTTTCAAAAAGGAGTACGCTCTTTTCTTGAAGGTCCCTAATTCGTATCGGTCCGGAAAAATCGCTGATGGTAATCGATTCCACAAGGAGGTCGTGCGAGGAAGAAAACATCTTCTAAATCGCACAGTGTGGACCGCCAATCATCCAGATGGTGTGGATGGTATCGGGAGTTCTGCCGCGATGTGCGTTCGTGAAATTTGACGGCTGGGATTAATCCGAACAATTCCTCAGAGCACTCCCCATGGTAGATGCGAAAGAAAATGCAAAGGGATGCAACATCTCTTCGCAGTGCCAATGAATCGAGCCGATCGGAAAGGGCTCGGTCGTCGACGATTAGAGCAGCTCTGCGTTGGATGCGGTCAAGTGGAAGGAGTTGGCACTGGGATGCCCCTGCCCAGAGATGGGAACAGTATTCCATGTGAGGCCGAACTTGCGCCTTGTAAAGTTGCAGGCGGTGTGCCGGCATGAAATACTGTCCCGCTTGTGTCTTGAAACTGAGGAGATACGACAAAGGGGTTCTTTTTAGCGGTAAACGCGCAAACTTGTGTCTTCTGAGGATTAAACTGGACTAGATTTAGTCTCCCCCAATCCGAGACTTAACTATACTACTAATATAGCTGCAGCATGGCTCTACTACGTAAAAAAGTGTAATATATTCTTTAAAATATTGAGCTAAACATAAAAATAAATTTTGAGTAAGTAATTAATTATTTTATATTAGCTAGACCTGTAATACTAATGACCCACATTGTTTTATCCAATAATTTCAACTTTCCTAAGTAATTCAATAATTTATCTGATTGGAATAATTTTGTCCCATAAGTTTGCGATAATAGCATGACAGATATACAAGATCCTTCTCCCTCCGGACTCCGTTCTGTGCGGTCGTGTTTCACATTTAGTTTATTGAACAAAAATTATTTAAATTTGAAGTCACTTAATTTTAGGCTTAATATTAGAACTGCAGAAGCCTGTCGAGGTTTTGAGATACTAGAAAGAGTGTTTCACTTTTATACTTTATTGAACAAAAATTATTTAAATTTTAAGTAATTTCATTTTACGATAAATAATAGGACTGTAGAAGCTTGTGGAGGTGTTGAGATACTAGGAAGAACCTGGTGAGTGAGACAAACATACTTGTAAGCGCTTCTATTGTGCATTTAATGCACTGTAATTGGCTTCCTTTAACGACGCCCTCTTGCGCTGGAGCACCGCTTGCGGAGGCGTGTCAATTCCGCATAGAGCACCTCAACTCAATATTTGTCCGTCTCTCTCATCAAGTTGCCGACGGAAAGTTTTACCGCGCTTGCATTTAGGCATATTCGCTAATCTTTTATGTTTACATCTGATTGATTTAATCTTTATTCAACTTCTGCATCATAAAAATTACACTATGCCGCTTAAACGTATGCCACCGAAGACTCCGCTTGCTAATAAAAATAGTAGTCCTATGCTAGAAGTCCCTGCTACGCCAATAACCGAACAATCAAAATCAGAGACAAACATATCTAATTTCGATGATAGTTTTGTTACTACTAGACGAAAAAATAATAATTCAGAGTTAAATCACTTCATGAAGGAAATGAAAGATATGTTATCAAACGACACCTCGCAAAATCAACAAAAAATATCATCGTTAGAGTCCAGAATTAATGAAGTAGTCTCTCAAAATTCTGAGATCATGGATACGCTGAGCTGTATATCAAGTCAGTACGATAATCTAAATGATAAGTTCCAGACGCTATTAGCTGAGAGAAAAGATCGTGCCTACATTCGCAAACTTGAAGATAAAATCTCGAGTTTAGAACAGCTTTTGCATGCGTCAAAAGTTGAATTAAAAAACATTCCCAAAAATAACGCTGAGACCAAAGAGAAGCTGTGCTGCATTGTTCAGAAAACCGCACAAACTTTGGATGTGTTAGTGCAGCCCTGTGAAATAAAGAACGTATATCGTACGAAAACAAAAATGACCAAGCTTCAGCGATAGTTGTTGACTATAACTGACCACAAATGTATATTGACATGTATTGATATGAAAAATAAGTCACTTTTCCGTAATAAATTCATCAAAAAAATTTACTATGATAATCTTATTAATGATTGCAAAACTACATATCGATTTAAATAATTTTTTTTAGAAAAAAAACGCAAATGATTATACTTCATACTTTGTGAAGACAATACAAAGTCTAATAAATAATAATCTAAGTATAATAAAATTGCCTAGGATTAGGCTCACTATAAAACCGTGGATATCTACAGGCATGTTACGACGTCTAAGGAACATGTACAGATTACACTCTAAAGCAAAACAAAATCCGAATAACGATATTTTAGTAAAAACATATAAGACATATAGGAACTTTTGTAATGATTTAATTAAGGAGGAAAAAAGAAAATATCACCAAAACGAAATAATTAAATGTTGCAGGATGCTTCACAGGATGAAATTGAACAATTGATAATTAGTCTAAAAACTGAGTCTGGACCTGGATAGCATGGTATTTCGGCAAAAACAAATAAAGCTTTAAAGGATTACATTGTGCCCCTACTTACGAAGCTCTTTAACCAATGTATAAAAGACGGTGTATTTCCTGATGCTTTTAAGAAATCAGTTGTACTGCCTAACCACAAGGGAGGGAAAAGAGACTGTATCAATAACTATCGCCCCATATCAATACTCTCTAATTTGTCAAAAATCTTTGAAAAAATTATAAAGAAAAGACTTAGAATATCTAGAAAAAAGTGAATTACTGTTTGGAAATCAATTTGGTATTAGAAAATTAAAATCTGCATAAGAAGCAGTAAATATGTTTATAGATTACGTTGCAATAAACTTAGATTCTCATTCAAAATTCTTAACTATATTTTTAGATTTTGCTAAAGCGTTTGATACCGTCTCTTTCCCAGAACATTTAGCAGTTATGGAGAAATTGGGCATCAGAGGTACCCAACTTCAATTGCTAAGCGACTATCTACACAATCGCACTCAGTGCACCAAAATTGATGATATTTGAAGTGACGATTGTTGTATAACGCGCGGAATTCCCCAAGGCAGTGTTCTGGGCCCTACTCACTTTTTGTGTTGTATTAATAACCTCTGTTAAATTAATATTCTCAATTGTAAGGTTATAAGCTATGCTGATGACACCACACTTACCTTATACGGTCAGTCTTGGGAAGAAGTTTATTCTGTTGCACAAACTGGTTTTAATACAGTCCAACAATAGCTTGCTACGCATTATCTATCTTTAAATGCAACCAAAACTAAATACATCCCTTTTGTATTACTACACAAGCATTAAAAGGCCAAGAGAACTTAAACTTCTATGTCCATGACTGCTGCATACCGGCTCTTAGTTCATGTACGTGTCGCTCATTTGAAAAGACCACGAACTCAAAATATTTAGGTATTATAATAAACCACAAACTTTCCTTCTAGGAGCATATAAACCACATTTCTTCCAGAGTTCGTAAACTTACATACATTTTTAAGCAGCTTCTTCATCTTGCTGATACCAGTATTATAAAATTTGTTTATACTGCCTTATGTCAATCTATTATTAACTACAGCATAACGTCTTGGGGTGGTGCATCAAAAAGCCACATGATTAGGTTAGAGCGTGCACAAAGACTTATACTTAAAATGTGTTATAAAAAACATCGATTATTTTCAACCAATGAACTTTACCAATTCTGTGAATTGCTCACTGTACGTCAACTCTATATTCTTGGGACAATATTATTAAATCATTCAAAAACGGAATATAACAAATCCAATCCCATATTAAACAAAAGATTTCCTCATATGGTATGCACAATACCTGTTACCAGTTTATTATAATATTTTAAAAGCTCGAAGATTTTTCAATTACAGAGGTTCAGTCCTATATAATCTTGCTAACAAATTATTAAATATATATCCGTTACCTAAAAGACACAAAAACTTCCGTAATCAAATGGCTTGAATAATTAGACTACGAACAGACAGAAAAACAATTTGAACGTATTGTTTAAATACTCGTATATATTACACACCACATGCACACAAACACACACACACAAACACACGTGCGCGCATGCGCACACACACACACCACATTATTAACACTTAATAAACCTGCTTACCTTTACTATTATACTACTTAAAGCATGTTTTTCTGTATATATACCTAATAAGTAATTTTTACACAGTTTCTCCAAACTGAACAAGGATATTTTAAATTAATTTTATTACACGTAGCTGTATTGATTATTAAATGTATTGCAGCAATATCACTTCTGTTGAGAGAGGGGCCTGGTGATCCCATAGCACAGGAAAACCTAGTTTGGGCACCAGTCTCCCACCTGGATCTTATTTGGCTAATATTTATAGCTATTATTTAGATGTATAGTTCATTGTTACTATGTTTATTTTGATGTACTGATAATAATATGTGGGAGAAAATAAATACCAATTGTTATTATTATTATTATTATTACAAGATAATTTTAGTCCGTTCTAACCTGCAAGTATACATATAATATATATTCAAATTAATCTTAGCCACACGCCAATTACAAAAGTCAAAGCAGGACTTTGATGCCGAATCGATTGTAATTTTTTGATATTCATGCACTGTTACCGTAATTTTTTTAATCTAAATCACTTTTTAATTTATCTCGCAAAAGGTGTGACTAGCAACAACAAGAATAAACCAAAATGCATTCTATTATTATTATTACCAGTTAATTTTTATTATTTACATTACAAAAATGACGAAAGGCGGCGATCATCAGAGATGGGTGGAATAATAACTGCCACAAAAATACTTGAGAAAATCCTAGTGTTGTGGTAACGTATTTTTTTTTAAAACGAACAAAAAACTTTTTTAGTTAAAGAATCGAAAAGTAAGGACATGTGGTTTTCTTGTAAACTTTATACAAACAAAAGAGCATCTTAATTATATCAACATTACAGACCACAAACTTTCTTTCGAGGAGCATATAAACCACATTTCTTCCAGAGTTCGTAAACTTACATACATTTTTAAGCAGCTTCTTCATCTTGCTGATACCAGTATTATAAAATTTGTTTATACTGCCTTATGTCAATCTATTATTAACTATAGCATAACGTCTTGGGGTGGTGCATCAAAAAGCCACATGATTAGGTTAGAGCGTGCACAAAGACTTATACTAAAAATATGTTATAAAAAACATCGATTATTTTCAACAAATGAACTTTGCTCACTGTACGTCAACTCTATTTTCTTGGGACAATATTATTAAATCATTCAAAAACGGAATATAACAAATCCAATCCTGTATTAAACAAAAGACTTAGTCATATAGTATGCACAATACCTGTTACCAATTTCTTATCGAAGAATTTTCAATTCAAGAGATCCAGTCCTATATAATCTTGCTAATAAATTATTAAATATATATCCGTTAACTAAAAGACAGACAAAAACTTCCGTAATCAAATAGCTTAAATCATTAGACTACGAACAGACAGAAAAACAATTTGAACGTATTGTTTAAATACTCGTATATATTACACACCACATGCACACAAACACACACACACACAGGTGTGCGCACGCGCACACACGCTTACCACACTATTAACACTTAATTAACCTGCTTACCTTTACTAGTAGACTACTTAAAGCATGTTTTTCTGTATATATACCTAATAAGTAATTTTTACACAGTTTCTCCAAACTGAACAAGTATATTTCAATATAATTTAATTACACGTAGCTGTATTGATTATTAAATGTATTGCAGCAATATCACTTCTGTTGAGGGAGGGGCCTGGTGATCCCATAGCACAGGGAAACCTAGTTTGGGCACCAGTCTCCCACCTGGATCTTATTTGGCTAATATTTATAGCTATTATTTAGATGTATAGTTCATTGTTACTATGTTTATTTTGGTGTACTGATCATAATATGTGGGAGAAAATAAATACCAATTGTTATTATTATTATTATTACAAGATAATTTTAGTCCGTTCTAACCTGCAAGTATACATATAATATATATTCAAATTAATCTTAGCCACACGCCAATTACAATTACGCCGGTCTTCAACCATCTAATATTAAAATAGTTGCTCACACCTGTCAACATTCCACCCATCATGATTCCTGCTCACATACGTGTACCACTATTGAACAGTTACAAAAAATAAAATACTTTGGTGTATACATTGATTCAACACTTTCCTGGAAATATCACGTTGAGACGCTCACCAAAAGGATCCGCAAATTAATATATGTTTTTAAACGTCTAAGAGCTGCTACTGACTTTAAATGGCTTAAAGTAACTTATCTCGCATTATGCCAATCAATAATTACATACTGCATAACGTCATGGGGAGGAACGTTTAAGAATAGTATTCTGCAAGTTGAAAGGGCACAAAGAGCTATATTGAAAGTAATTCTTTTTAAACCCTATAGTTATTCCACTTCAGTTCGACAATTGTATATCTTAAAGTCAATATTACACAGCCACGCTAAAACTACTTTCGATCACGTTACTCACATGAATAAACGACGTAAAGATATAATATTCAGAATTCCTAAAGAGACATCACCGTTTGCAAAACGACAACATGTCTTTTTGGGACCTATACTATACAATAAAATTAATCAGGCTGTGAATATTTACTCTCGCTACACTTGTAAAGAAACAGTTACGAAATTCCTACATTTAAAATCTTACTCTGAAACAGAAGATCTCCTAAAAATAATGCAATAAAGAATAGAATATAAATAAAATTTTCATATTATGATAAAATTTTTGAAAAGTTCTTAACGATAAGTATGAATTATTAATGTAATGGTCTCGATTTCAAGTGCATGTAATTAAATAACACACATACGCACACACACACACACACACACACACACACACATACACACACACACCCACCCACACACACACACACACACACACACACACACATTCTTTATCTACTTTTACCTACTTTAACTAACAATTATGGTACTAAGTAATATATGAATTAAGTCCGAGTGTGGGGGTCGGAACACTGTAACACAGGGTATCCTAGTACAGGTTCCGCTCTTTCACAATGGTCAAATGTTGAAATAAGTATTTCATAAAAATTACACAATAAACTAAGCATGTTTTATTTAATGTACCATTGTGATTGGAAATAAATGATTATTATTATTATAATTACAAAAGTCTTTTTACTTAAATTATTTATCTTCAAAATCTTCTTTCTCTTCTAATCAATTTGTTTTTCTGTTTTCGCTTAGGAGCGTTTCATTAACTTTTCTCGTAATTTTAAAGTCAATTATAGGATTTTAACTATATTTGCCACTTAAAATTACGAAAAGGCAATTTAGTCTTCTAATTTGTCGAGGACTGCTAAAATATAAAACACAATATATTAGTGTAATACCTAGTCAGGTCATAAGTATTGTCACACAGTAAAAACTTTTCTTTTAGAATGCTGGCCACACTAAAGTTTATTGAATTCGAATTTCGAATTGTTCATGAAAATAAAACTGTATACTTTTTAGAATTTTACTCATTTTTAAATATGTAGTGGACGCTTAAAAAAGACCGTGTTGCAGTTATTGCGTTGCATCGTCGTGGTTACGCGCCAATTCAAATTTTTTACATACAGAAAAATTCGAATATATCCAAAAGATTCGTTTATCGTACCATCAAACGATACAATGAAGACTTTAGTGTAGATGATAGGTCAAGAAGTGGTCGCCCTCGGTCTGTTAGGAATCCAGCAGTGAAGGCTGTGAAGGCGCGAATTCAAAGAAATCCCAAATGTAAGCAGAAACTGTTGGCCCTTCAGATGAGGTAAAGCAGAACCACGGTGAAAAGGGTGTTAAATGAAGATTTTGGGCTTCGGGCATATCGAAGAAAAACAGGACATCGTTTGAATGCTCGTCTAATGGACCTGAGACGCACACAGTAGTGAAGAAGCGAGCAACCGTATTCTGCGTGTCCAACGAGGTCATTTTCCATCCTCGCTCATGGTATGGTTGGGAGTTTCTTATTGGGCCTTAACAGAGGTATATTTTTGTGAGAAAGGCGTAAAAACGAATGCAGTTGTGTATCAAAATACGGTCCTGACGAACCTTGTGGAACCTGTTTCTCATACCATGTTCAATAACAGGCACTGGGTATTCTATCAAGATTCGGCGCCAGCTCATAGAGCGAAGAGCACACAAGACTGGCTGGCGGCGCGTGAAATCGACTTCATCCGGCACGAAGACTGGCCCTCCTCCAGTCCAGATTTGAATCCGTTAGATTACAAGATATGGCAACACTTGGAGAAAAAGGCGTGCTAAAAGCCTCATCTCAATTTGGAGTCACTCAAGACATCCTTGATTAAGGCAGCCGTCGATATTGACATGGACCTCGTTCGTGCTGCGATAGACGACTGTCCGCGCAGATTGAAGGCCTGTATTCAAAATGACGGAGGCCATTTTGAATTATAATAATAATAATACTTTTTACTAATTTTAAAAACTTTAGTGTCATAAGAATTTATGTTTCGTTATGTTCATTTTGGTTTATAAATGGTTACATAATGAATAAACTTGTTTCAATTATTTTATATTAAACATGTGACAGAATTTATGACCTGACTAGGTATATTCTTTAAAATATTGAGCTAAACAATAAAATAAATTGTGAGTAAGTAATTAATTATTTTATATCAGCTAGATCTGTATGTATTTATTCATAAAAGAATGTCATGGAATTTTATACTTCAGTTTACACCCACTTGCAGATGTTTGATTAATCTGAAACTTTGCAGACGCAATAAGAACTGGTAACAATACAATAATTTCATGACTGGGATCTTGCAATCTCACGAGAATATAGGCACATTGTTATATCATTGTTTTATCAATAATTTAATAATAGAGAATATAGGGACATTGTTTTATCATTGCTATATCAATAATTTCAACTTTCCTAAGTAATTCAATAATTTATCTGATTGGAATAATTTTGTCCCATAAGTTTGCGATAATAGCATGACAGATATACAAGATCCTTCTCCCTCCGGACTCCGTTCTGTGCGGTCGTGTTTCACTTTTAGTTTATTGAACAAAAATTATTCAAATTTGAAGTCACTTAATTTTTTTTTCAATTACAGAGGTCCAGTCCTATATAATCTTGCTAACAAATTATTAAATATATATCCGTTAACTAAAAGACAGACAAAAACTTCCGTAATCAAATAGCTTAAATCATTAGACTACGAACAGAAAGAAAAACAATTTGAACGTATTGTTTAAATACTCGTATATATTACACACCACATGCACACAAACACACACACACAGGTGCGCGCACGCGCACACACGCTTACCACACTATTAACACTTAATAAACCTGCTTACCTTTACTAGTAGACTACTTAAAGCATGTTTTTCTGTATATATACCTAATAAGTAATTTTTACACAGTTGCTCCAAACTGAACAAGTATATTTTAAGGTAATTTAATTACACGTAGCTGTATTGATTATTAAATGTATTGCAGCAATATCACTTCTGTTGAGGGAGGGGCCTGGTGATCCCATAGCACAGGGAAACCTAGTTTGGGCACCAGTCTCCCACCTGGATCTTATTTAGCTAATATTTATAGCTATTATTTAGATGTATAGTTCATTGTTACTATGTTTATTTTGATGTACTGATCATAATATGTGGGAGAAAATAAATACTAATTGTTATTATTATTACTATTACAAGATAATTTTAGTCCGTTCTAACCTGCAAGTATACATATAATATATATTCAAATTAATCTTAGCCACACGCCAATTACAAAAGTCAAAGCAGGATTTTGATGCCGAATCGATTGTAATTTTTTGATATTCATGCACTGTTACCGTAATTTTGTTTTAATCTAAATCACTTTTTAAATTATCTCGCAAAAGGTGTGACTAGAAACAACAAGAATAAACAAAAATGCATTCTATTATTATTATTACCAGTTAATTTTTATTATTTACATTACAAAAATGACGAAAGGCGGCGATCTTCAGAGATGGGTGGAATAATAACAGCCACAAAAATACTTGAGAAAATCCTAGTGTTGTGGTAACGTATTTTTTTTTAAAACGAACAAAAAAACTTTTTAAATTAAAGAATCGAAAAGTAAGGACATTTGGTTTTATTGTAAACTTTATACAAACAAAAGAGCATCTTAATTATATCAACATTGTTTTGTAACATCTATTTATTTTCCTACCTAAAACTAACTGTGACAGTATTTTATTAATCTTAATTTGTAACGTCATACAATAAAGAATTATCTGTAAATAAAACAAAACACACGCAAAAGGTAAAATTAGGAAAAAATATTATTTATCTTCAAAATCTTCTTTCTCTTCTAATCAATTTGTTTTTCTGTTTTCGCTTAGGAGCGTTAAATTAACTTTTCTCGTAATTTTAAAGTCAGTTATAGGATTTTAACTATATTTGCCACTTAAAATTACGAAAAGGCAATTTAGTCTTCTAATTTGTCGAGGACTGCTAAAATATAAAACACAATATATTAGTGTAATACCTAGTCAGGTCATAAGTATTGTCACACAGTAAAAACTTTTCTTTTAGAATGCTGGCCACACTAAAGTTTATTGAATTCGAATTTCGAAGTGTTCATGAAAATAAAACTGTATACTTTTTAGAATTTTACTCATTTTTAAATATGTAGTGGACGCTTAAAAAGACCGTGTTGCAGTTATTGCGTTGCATCGTCGCGGTTACGCGCCAATTCAAATTTTTTACATACAGAAAAATTTGAATATATCCAAAAGATTCGTTTATCGTACCATCAAACGATACAATGAAGACTTTAGTGTAGATGATAGGTCAAGAAGTGGTCGCCCTCGGTCTGTTAGGAATCCAGCAGTGAAGGCTGTGAAGGCGCGAATTCAAAGAAATCCCAAATGTAAGCAGAAACTGTTGGCCCTTCAGATGAGGTAAAGCAGAACCACGGTGAAAAGGGTGTTAAATGAAGATTTTGGGCTTCGGGCATATCGAAGAAAAACAGGACATCGTTTGAATGCTCGTCTAATGGACCTGAGACTGAAGAGATGCCGCGCTTTGTTGAAGCGGTACGCGGGAAAAAATATCGGGAAATTCTTTTTTCGGATGAAAAATTTTTACCGTAGAAGAGATTTACAACAAACAAAATGATAAGATGTACGCACACAGTAGTGAAGAAGCGAGCAACCGTATTCTGCGTGTCCAACGAGGTCATTTTCCATCCTCGCTCATGGTATGGTTGGGAGTTTCTTATTGGGGCTTAACAGAGGTACATTTTTTGAGAAAGGCGTAAAACCGAATGCAGTTGTGTAACAAAATACGGTCCTGACAAACCTTGTGGAACCTGTTTCTCATACCATGTTCAATAACAGGCACTGGGTATTCCAACAAGATTCGGCGTCAGCTCATAGAGCGAAGAGCACACAAGACTGGCTGGCGGCGCGTGAAATCGACTTCATCCGGCACGAAGACTGGCCCTCCTCCAGTCCAGATTTGAATCCGTTAGATTACAAGATATGGCAACACTTAGAGAAAAAGGCGTGCTAAAAGCCTCATCTCAATTTGGAGTCACTCAAGACATCCTTGTTTAAGGCAGCCGTCGATATTGACATGGACCTCGTTCGTGCTGCGATAGACGACTGTCCGCGCAGATTGAAGGCCTGTATTCAAAATCACGGAGGCCATTTTGAATAAACTTTAGTGTCATAAGAATTTATGTTTCGTTACGTTCATTTTGGTATATAAATGGTTACATAATGAATAAACTTGTTTCAACTATTTTGTATTAAACATGTGACAGAATTTATGACCTGACTAGGTATATTCTTTAAAATATTGAGCTAAACAATAAAATAAATTGTGAGTAAGTAATTAATTATTTTATATTAGCTAGATCTGTATGTATTTATTCATAAAAGAATGTCATGGAATTTTATACTTCAGTTTACACCCACTTGCAGATGTTTGAATAATCTGAAACTTTGCAGACGCAATAAGAACTGGTAACAATACAATAATTTCATGACTGGGATCTTGCAATCTCACGAGAATATAGGCACATTGTTATATCATTGTTTTATCAATAATTTAATAATAGAGAATATAGGCACATTGTTTTATCATTGTTATATCAATAATTTCAACTTTCCTAAGTAATTCGGTGCACACACACGCTTACCACACTATTAACACTTAATAAACCTGCTTACCTTTACTAGTAGACTACTTAAAGCATGTTTTTCTGTATATATACCTAATAAGTAATTTTTACACAGTTTCTCCAAACTGAACAAGTATATTTTAATGTAATTTAATTACACGTAGCTGTATTGATTATTAAATGTATTGCAGCAATATCACTTCTGTTGAGGGAGGGGCCTGGTGATCCCATAGCACAGGGAAACCTAGTTTGGGCACCAGTCTCCCACCTGGATCTTATTTAGCTAATATTTATAGCTATTATTTAGATGTATAGTTCATTGTTACTATGTTTATTTTGATGTACTGATCATAATCTGTGGGAGAAAATAATAAACAATTGTTATTATTATTATTATTACAAGATAATTTTAGTCCGTTCTAACCTGCAAGTATACATATAATATTTATTCAAATTGATCTTAGCCACACGCCAATTACAAAAGTCAAAGCAGGATTTTGATGCCGAATCGATTGTAATTTTTTGATATTCATGCACTGTTACCGTAATTTTTTTTTAATCTAAATCACTTTTTAAATTATCTCGCAAAAGGTGTGACTAGAAACAACAAGAATAAACCAAAATGCATTCTATTATTATTATTACCAGTTAATTTTTATTATTTACATTACAAAAATGACGAAAGGTGGCGATCTTCAGAGATGGGTGGAATAATAACAGCCACAAAAATACTTGAGAAAATCCTAGTGTTGTGGTAACGTATTTTTTTTTAAAACGAACAAAAAAACTTTTTAAATTAAAGAATCGAAAAGTAAGGACATGTGGTTTTATTGTAAACTTTATACAAACAAAAGAGCATCTTAATTATATCAACATTGTTTTGTAACATCTATTTATTTTCCTACCTAAAACTAAATGTGACAGTATTTTATTAATCTTAATTTGTAACGTCATACAATAAAGAATTATCTGTAAATAAAACAAAACACACGCAAAAGGTAAAATTATCAAAAAATATTATTTATCTTCACAATCTTCTTTCTCTTCTTATCAATTTGTTTTTCTGTTTTCGCTTAGGAGCTTTAAATTAACTTATCGTAATTTTAAAGTCAATTATAGG